TTTCATGCTATAGTGTTATTTGTCCAGCAATCATCAAGTGAGAGCTAAACTTATTTTAAGAAAGTTATGTACAGACACTCTTGATTTTCTTCTTTTGCTGCTAATCGTTCTTTTCTTCTTATTCTTTTGTAATTAGTTTTTTTCTTATTCAAAATACTTGTGCACGCTTTGGATGTGTCAATAAGTTTAATTTTATAAGAAAATAACATGTTTTATTAAACTACAACATTTTAATTGGTAAATTTAAAATTTTTAAGTTATTAATTCAGTAATGAGCTTGACAAATATGTCTCATATTGTAACCACCACCTTTATGGAAAAGATTATTATCGATACATCCTCTGTAAGTTCACTTCGATTGTGATCTACGGAGGTCAAAGTTTAACCAAATTAGTCGGTTCAATTATTAAAATATTTTGAGTGGTGTAGAAATGTGTGTGAAAATTGCACATACAATTTAAGATAAATGTATTGATGGAAGATTTCCAATTTAAGGAATGAGTTGAAGGCTGAGATTGAAGATATTATTAGTCGTATACTACAATTAAAAAGGTAATTAATTTTTTTTGGCATTCATTTAATTATAAAATAAAATAAACTAAAGATAATAAAACTAGTATGTATATATAATTAAACTTCTTTCTATAATTTTCCTTATCCGATCCTAAGATCTCATTCTGAGAGGGGACAGCACATTTTCCAAAGATTTTAGATGTAACATTTATTATTTGTTTCAAACTTCTTTGAGATCCTTCAATCTTCCCTTATCCACGCCCATAACTCTCTCGGTCAAATCAAGTTTTTCAATATATCCCTTCTTAAATAATTGTTCAGCCGCACCGGACGATGGTACGGGACGGTGTCTTCCATTGTTCTAACCTGAGAAATTAGACTTTTAAGTTTCATCTTCATTTTATCTTAATATTTTAAATCTCTATTTCAATTATGCCATTAAAATTTAACCGTGAAACAACCTTAGCATTTGGAGTGATATTTATTTTTCAGATCACGTTAATTAGCATCAAACTTAAAAGGATTAAAGATGCAACCTCCAAAATTTGTATATCTACCTCATTAAATCCTTTTAAATGTACTCCTTGTCTTTGTTTTCGTTTTTAATGGATGAGTTGTATTTTTACAAGCGTTTATTTTGAGTGTATGTATTAACATGTCGATTTAGTTATACATTGAAGTCAAACAAATATTTGGTGACGGGCGAGTACATATACTAGATAGCAAAGTATTAATTAGAAGGATCCAGAGGGAGGTTAAGCCATAAGGATAAAAAGAGAGCACACTACAAAGGATGCTTTATTGAATACTTAAATTGACGACAATTCCACGTAGTTTAAATCACACATAATAAAGATTAGAAGGATGATAATAGAGATATTGGATTGAGTTTAGAGGTCAACGCATACTCCAGCAACTACGGCATGCAGGCAAGTGCAACGAGAAGCGCAACTCTTAAAGGCATTGCAATAAGCTCCACCACATCCATTGACAACTTGGCCCTTCATCATTTTTCTCATTCCCATGCTATTTTCATTACCAACAACATACAAATACTTTGGAGCATCATCAGACACCAGCTCAATCAATGTGTTCTCAGCGACCAAATTGGACTGTGCTAAAACTATAGTAAACATCATCGCCATGATCGCCACCACCACACCTACTTTCTTCACCTCCGTGGCTATCCTCTTTCTTCTCTCTTCTTCTTTTCCTGTTCTTGCTTTCCTTCCCTGATTGCACCCCTCTACCCTCCATTTATAGTACCCTACCTCCATGCCTCCATGTGAAAAACATGTTAGGAATATTCAAAAAGTTTTTCAACCAACCTCTTTTGATATCTCGACATTTTTCGTGTATCCATGGATCCAAACATCGACACATAGAGTAAATCAACATTATTATAATATTACAAAACCGGCGATTACTAGCGATTCCGGCTTCATGCAGGCGAGTTGCAGCCTACAATCCGAACTGAGGACGGTGGTCAGAATATAAAAAAATACCGATAAAATGTCACTAATCCAAACAACGTATTAATATTAATCATTTTTAATTTATCTAGAAATTGCGAAACTATTCATTAATTTTTATATATATTATTATTTTTTATTTAGATTTTTTAAAATATCAATTCACATCGACATTAAAACCTCATTTAATGTCGATGTGAATTGATATTTAATGTCGATGGAGGTAGAAATTGAATATTAAATGAGGTTTTAATATTATTCAAATAAAAATTGAATATTAAATGAAGGGCCAAGTTGTCAATGGATGTGGTGGAGCTTATTGCAATGCCTTTAAGAGTTGCGCTTCTCGTTGCACTTGCCTGCATGCCGTAGTTGCTGGAGTATGCGTTGACCTCTAAACTCAATCCAATATCTCTATTATCATCCTTCTAATCTTTATTATGTGTGATTTAAGCTACGTGAAATTGTCGTCAATTTAAGTATTCAATAAATGCACCATGCTCAGTTTGCTATCGCTTTATCTTTTATGTCTTAAGCTATGTGAAATAGTCGTTAATTTAAGTATTCAATAAAGCATCCTCTTTAGTTTGCTCGCTTTTTATCCTTATGGCTTAACCTCCCTCCCCATCAATCCCAGTAAATATTTGGTTCTTCTATTTACTATCTAATATAGGTCCTTGCTGGTCATAAAGTACTTTTTAATTAGCTCCAATACATAACTAAATCGACATGTTAATGCACATACTAAAAACCATTACTCATTAAATGTCAAATTTAAAAGTTGAACTAAAATGAAATTTAAACCTTAAATTTTTTAATTCATCCACTTCATTCTTGTCCGGTTCAAAAAGTTAATCATTTCTATATAAATTGAAAGTTTAACACCAAACTAAAAGTGTATTATATATCTATTCATTAAAAGAGAAAAATAAAGATTTATGGAAACACAACTCGTTATTTAAAATGACAATAAAGACACAGAATGAGTTCGAAAAGATTTAATGATGAAAATACAAAATTTGGAGGTTTCATCTTTAATTTTTTTGAGTTTGATGCCCTAATTTACGTGATCTAAAAATAAATCTCACTCTAAATAGAGATTTTATTGAGACAAAATGAGGATGAAACTTGAAACTCTAATTCGGCTCAACAATTATTAGAGAAAGCAGAACTGAAAAATGTGATTTGACAGAGAGAATTATTGGTGTGGATAAGGGAAGATCGGAGGATGTGGAAGAAGTTTTTAAAAAATAATAAATGTTACATCTAAAATCTTTCAAAAATCTGCTGTCCTTCGAGAATCTGATGTTTCGGATAAGGAAAATTATTGAAAGAAGTTTAGGGTTCAGCTTTTGCAATCAGAAGTTTAGAGTGTAAAATTTTTTCATTTATGAATGTTTAAGGGTACGATTTAATTTCTCTAAGAGAACAAAAAAAAAAGATACCATTTAAATTTTACTACGTAAAGTTTAAGGGTCTAATTCTTTCCTTTAAAGCTTGAAAGATCACTTTTACACTATTGAAAGTTTAAGACTGCATACATTTTTTATACTTTAAAATAAAATGGTGGAAGTTCATCTATATCGCACGTGTTACTTACGAGTAACTATATAAAAAGACTCGTTTTGAGTCATTTCTCGTAAAAAGTTGAGGTCTATGTTTTTTTTTTTCCTTATTTACTCTTACTCTCCAAATTCTTTTATTTTTTGGTTTCTAAATTAAAGTAGTTCAACACCAACCATTATTGTTCAACAATCACAAAAGCATTATTGAGAGATAAATTTAAAATATATATAATTTGCAGACCGATTTTCTGCTTCCTTGGCACTATTATTCTCGATAATAATTTATAATTAATTATTAACTTTTTTCATTATTTTAAATTTTTCATTATTTTCTTTTTTTGTTAAATTACGTCAATGATACCATTTTGAACATTTATGTAGGCTTAAATTTTAAATTTTGACATTTTATTTCGAATTAGAAATGCCTCAAGTAATTTAATTTTTAACAAAACTATAAATTATATCATATTAATTAATAATTACTGCATACTTATAAAATTTTATAATTGTAGAAAAAATTGAATAATAAAACGTTTGTAATGTATAAAAGAAATCTATAAATTTTGAAATATTATTTGCAAATAATTTACTTTTGCATGAATACAATTAAAATATTTGTATTATATAATAAAATAAATTTTGTAAAATAAAAAACGTGCATTATACATGGTTACAAAATATAGTATACAAAAGTGTGAATGTGAACAAACTTTTTTATTTGATAATATTAGTTCCATATAACATTATATATGTATTCATGTTATAAACGTAACGTGTTTTCTTGGATAAAAAAAATTAATATACAACGTACAAAGTATGGAATAAAAACTACTATTCTTTTGCATGATTTGAAATTTGGGCTCAACGGTAGTTCCAATATTTTCTCTCATTCTTTGGACGTACTATGCAGTACATGCTACACATGTTTTGTGTACGTGGACTTAGTTCAATAATAATCATACATGTTTTGTCTTATCTCTCTTAAAAAAAATTAATATTTCAAATCAGTCATGGTGTTAAATTGTCACTGTAACTAAGATTAAAATTCAAAATGTGAATATAAAATAATTAATAACTTAAAATAAATTAATTTATATATTTTTTTAATTAAATTTGATTAGTAATTAATCAATGTTTCAAGTGTGACATAAAATTCATATATTTGGAGTAATCACACAAAATAAACATATATATAATTTATTTTCAATCATATTAATCACATACATCTTAATCTTAATCTCAAACATGTATATAATCAAACACAGTTATCTTTAATTTGCGGACGATCTTATTTTGAGACAATTTAACACTTTGAATCTTTAATCTCAAGCCAAAAACCTCCAACCTTTAAATTTATACGGGGAGCTTATTACAAAACAAAAGAATTTTTGAAACGGGTGACTTTCTTTAATAACATTAGAATATGTTAAACCATTAAACCACCCAGAAATCAAAAAGCTTAAACTGTCTAACAGAACATGAATTCCGAAATCCCCTCTCTCGTCTTGTATTGTAAGCTATGAGAAAACAAGAACGAGGAAATAAAATTAAAAAATGGCGTAATTTGGAAAAAGAAAAGCAAAACAAAAAATGGCCTTCTGAAAGTTCAAGAATGTGGAGAATGCAGTGGTGGGGTGGCGGGTAGAATCATTTGATCGTTGCTTCAGTGAAAACGGCTGAAAACTCTGTAAAACCCATCGAAACAGAGACTCGAAACTATTGAATTAATGTTGGTTCTGGCTAAATGCAATCTCAATTTTCGAAAACCAAGCTGTTACTTGCAATCAACAATGCCCCAGTTTTTTCCAGAGCCAACCCGCGCGCGGCGGAGCAGGATTGTTTAGCGCTGCTTCAGGCCTGTAACGCCCTACCAAAGCTCGCCCAAATCCATGCCCACATCCTCAAGTTGGGCCTCCACAACAACCCACTCGTTCTCACCAAATTCGCCTCCATTTCCTCTGTTATTAGCGCCACCGATTACGCTGCCTCTTTCTTGTTCTCTGCCGGAGCCGATACTCGGCTTTACGATGCGTTTCTTTTCAATACCCTCATCAGAGCCTACGCCCAAACTGGTCACTCGAAGCCCAAAGCGTTGGCTTTGTACGGTCTCATGCTTCGCGATGGGATTTTGCCTAATAAGTTCACGTACCCATTTGTCTTGAAGGCCTGTGCTGGCCTTGAGGTTTTGAATTTGGGTCAATCAGTTCATGGGTCGGTGGTGAAGTTTGGGTTTGATCGCGACGTCCATGTACGGAACACTATGGTTCACATGTACTCTTGCTGCGCTGGTGGGATAAATTTTGCCCGGAAGGTGTTCGATGAAATGCCCAAGTCAGACTCTGTGACTTGGAGTGCAATGATTGGTGGGTATGCTCGCGTGGGCCGCCCCACAGAAGCAGTTTCCTTGTTTAGGGAGATGCAATTGGCGGAGGTTTGCCCAGATGAGATAACTATGGTCTCCATTCTTTCTGCTTGTACTGATTTGGGTGCCCTTGAACTTGGGAAGTGGCTTGAAGCTTATATAGAGAGACAGGGGATTCAGAAACCAGAAGAGGTTAGCAATGCACTTATTGACATGTTTGCAAAGTGTGGCGATATTAGTAAAGCTTTGAAGTTATTTAAAACTATGAGTGAGAAAACAATCGTTTCTTGGACTTCTGTGATTGTTGGTATGGCAATGCACGGCCGTGGTCAGGATGCTATTTGTTTGTTTGAGGAGATGATAGGATCTGGTGTAGCTCCAGATGATGTCGCCTTTATTGGCTTGCTTTCTGCTTGTAGCCATTCGGGAATGGTAGAAAGGGGTAGAGAATATTTCAGTTCAATGACGAAGAAGTACAAACTTGTTCCTAAGATTGAACATTATGGATGCATGGTGGACATGTTTTGCAGGACTGGACTTGTGAAGGAGGCTCTCGAGTTCGTCCATAGTATGCCGATTGAGCCAAATGCGGTAATTTTGCGAACACTTGTCAGTGCTTGCCGTGGTCATGGAGAATTCCAACTTGGAGAAAAGATCACCAAGCAGCTAATGAGACATGAGCCTATGCATGAGTCAAACTATGTCTTGCTTTCTAACATTTATGCAAAAATGCTTAGCTGGGAGAAGAAGACCAAAATTAGAGAGGTGATGGAGGTGAAAGGCATGAAAAAAGTTCCAGGGAGCACCATGATTGAGATAGATAACGAAATCTATGAATTTGTTGCCGGTGATAAGTCTCATAAACAGTTCAAAGAAATCTATGAGATGGTGGATGAGATGGGGAGAGAGATGAAGAAATCTGGATATCGTCCTTCGACGTCCGAGGTTTTGCTTGATATTAATGAAGAAGACAAAGAAGATACTTTGAATAGACATGGTGAAAAGCTGGCTATTGCATTTGGTCTTCTTAACACTCCACCCGGAACTCCTATTCGAATCGTGAAGAATTTGCGAGTTTGCAGTGATTGCCACTCCGCTTCCAAGTTCATCTCTAAGATTTATGATCGGGAAATAATAATGAGGGACCGCAACCGGTTTCACCATTTCAAGGCTGGAATATGCTCGTGTGGAGATTTCTGGTGAATTTAAAATATCTAGAAAAGAAAAGCTTCTAGAAACCTATGGATATTTGCGAACCGAGTACTCAACAGGCAATTGATAGTGGTTCGTGTTCATCAAATGCCATGCATCCATTCTGCAGCTGAGATATTACGTGTTAAAACTTGGAAGATTTTTTCAAAGATGCAATTGGTAACGTTATACATCTCTTCCATTTGAGACACAAAGCTCAGCCCCATCTGGGCCCATATACTTGAGAGCTTTAACTTCAAGTGAGATCAGTTGCTTTTGCTTGTAACTTATCATTTCTTAGGCAATGCTGCAAGTTCAATGAGAAGTTAGCTTCTTTGGCAGATCAAAGCCTGATTTCGAAGCCAATTGGAAGCGACGGAGCTAACAACATGGTAACGTTCAACTTATCTTCAACTCCATTATAAAAACCTTTCAAGTCATCATAGTTTATGCGATTCTAGAACTGGATTCATCCAAGTCACGAAACTTTTTAATTCAATCTAAATTGCAGGCATGTCAAATTTTACTGCGTTTTATTCGATCGTTAAGGAACTACACACACAGCACAGCAGAGAATGCAGAGACTTTGAGATTATAGAAAATTATGAAGGTGGGCTTAGCCAGGTAATACCATATGATTATCAAACGTGTTTTGGGTAATTGATTTTACTATAAAGTTTGGATTAAAGGATGTGTGGACCTTTTCTTTTAGACACTTTTTTGTTCATAGAAAATCTTTAAAACTAACTTTAACTTAACGAGCCAATCATACCATGAATGATTAAACAATTTTTTTAGGTAATTGATGGATGTAGACTTTTTTGGCCTTTTATATTTATTAGTGGAATCTTTTTTGTATTATTTTAGGGTGGCTATAAGTATAATCAACTGGAGGCCCAAGCTTATATTTATAAATTAATATGGGACATTTCGAATATAATATACTGAAATAAATCTAAATTAAATGCAAATTTCTATGTTTATAGATGTCACAGCAGAACCCATATGTTCATTTACTGTTTTTGAGATTTTGTCTAAGTAGTGAAGTTTATGGTAATTAAATAAAACAGAATCTTTACTAGATGACGTGCTGTTAGCAGCAGCACTTCTAAATTTTTACAAAGAATAGGATATCATATGAATTGGTAGATCTGGGGTTTATATTATATTGCGTATTCTATTATTTTTGTAAATTTATAAATGAAATGCTATTAAATATAACATAGTATTTTGGTAATTTCCTTGTCAAATACCATTCAACTGAAGGCCTAATTGTCTCACCTCATTTTTCATATGAACCAAACTAAACACTAGGAAAGGACAGATGTCTCCCTATCCAAATCACATATTTACCATCTAGGTCATATTTACAAATTTGGTTTGTGTAGTTTGGGCAAAATTTCAATTTTGGCCTCTATAGTTTTATAAGTTTCAATTTAGTCTTTATGATTTAGTGAAACTTCACAAATTGTCCCAACTGAAAAATAAAATAAATATATTGATTTTTTTAGTGGGTAAAAGACAACTCAAAGATATTTATAAGGCTTAATCAAATTGAAACTCTTAAATCCATAGGATGTAAATTGAAAAACTTTAGTCTATAAAGGTTAAATTGTAATTTAACCTAAACTTAAATACTAATTTTTTTTTTCTAAGTAAATTAGTGATGGATACACAAAAATTGAAAACAAATGTTGTGCGTTTGGTGGGTTTCCCGTCGGCACGCCAAAAGTAAATGCGCTGCCTTCAATCTCTCTTTGAATCGCTATCCAATTCCAATGAGTTCCCACACTCAAAAAATAAAGTAGGTAAGCTTGTAACTAACCATGGAATTATCAAAATATTTTCGCCCAATTAGTAACAAAAATTAAAATTACCATTTGATTTTTTTGAAGTCCGATGGGATATGACTGGCCGATGTAAGAATACATGGACCCGACCAAAGTCTATATAAAGAAACTTACATGTCAAGTACTAAGACAGAATGACACAAATATTGAGGTTATTTAGGGGAGAAAAGTGCTTCTTAAATTTTGCATATGATCTATGTGAATGTTTTGTTGATAATTTTTTTTTTTTTTTTAAGTAGATTTATTGAGTATTTTGATGAAATAGAATTATTGTTGAAGTAAAAAATTAAAACAAGTGTTCATCCAAAAATTCAACATGTCTATGGAATCTTTGTCTTGGCAACCTCACACAGTAGAAGTCGCATTTTCCTTCCTTGATAATTTGAAAAGCCCTTTAGCGACCTAACAACGAAAAAGACCCCATTGAAAATAGTTCCACTCAATGTCTTTACCTATACATTTTATAGTTTTATAGACTTTTGTTCATAGCCAAAGCCATCATCCTAACTTTAATTCTTCTATTTTAGTCTAACAAGGACTAAAACTAAAATGAAATTAAAGGCTTAAAATATAGTGGTTTGTTTTATAGATTAAAATAGAATAAGTGTGAAAGTTTAAAAACTAAAATATAATTTAAGAAATATGTTGGGTTTTTTTCCTTTCTAGAATCGGTAGAAAAATCAAATTTTATCCTCAACTAGTCAAGGCAACTTTCCATTTCATCAAATTGAATCTTAGTTTTAGACAAGTGTCGCAACTTTTTCATCTTTCTACTTGAAACTCATTAAGTTTGCACAAGATTGAAACGATATCGCTTGTCTCGAAATATTCATTCAAGTTTATAATGCAATTCGATGAAATTAAAAATAAAAGAAAACTATTACACCATATTGTTGAAGAGAATCCATAAGAAAGTTTCCAACGTCCTCATCTTCAAATGCGACCGTAAATTCGATGACTGAAGCAGTCAATCGTGGCTGGAAAAATTCCTCAACACCCATAAATTTTAATTTTAATTCTTAAAAACAAAACAAAACAAAACTGGTTGTGTTTGTTTCTTCAGGGTCCCACCTACGCCAAACTCTGACTTTTAAACGTGTTTAAGAAGAAAGTCAAGTCTGTCAGCTGCCTTCCCACCCTTTTGCCCTTCTACTCAACGCCAATTACGTTTCTTATCATCAATTTCATTTTATTCAACTCTATTTATTATTCCATCAATTAATTCCCCTTTTTCTTTTAGTTTTACAATAAATTTTACCAAGTAAACAATTATCATTGACATTGACCCTAAATTTGTTGTAAATTTAAAAATTTGTCATTTTTCCTTCTTTTTAACACACGTTTCTTTCTTTATTTTTTTGCCCTTTCCCTACGAAAACTGTGTTTCTTACGGTAAATTTTTTGGAGATTTTTTCCACCACACTTCAAAGATAAAATTTCTATCTCTTCCAAGATATCATCCACAGGTTAAATGGGAAGTTTCTTCTTTTTCTTTTTTCAATACAATAATAATTTGTTAAAATAAACATAATTCACTGATAATTAACATATATTTTCGAATCTCAATAATGATTGATTTGAGTTCTACCCACTAAAAATTTTTAACCAAACAAACTTTTTCAAATTCACAAATACCAAAATTTAAAGAAAATTCACAACACTAACAACAACAATGCAAGCACATTTCAGAACTCCGGATGAATCTTATTTTATTTTTCGTTTTTCTCCAATACTTTTCTTTAACAAGAAAATATCACATCATAATAAACATAAATCTAAGGACAAAACAACATTCAATAATACAAGCCATTGCCAACTGAAATTCTGCCCTTTTTCCTTTTTTTTTTTCTTTTTCTCTGTGCTTATTTTT